GCTAGGTCCGGGCAGCATTCCCGGCATTTCCATACTACTGCTACTGGCCGCCTCCTCGAGAAATCTATGTTTTAGATTTAAGTAAAAGGTAGTGCCTAGGGGGGGGGGCGGCTAGTAGTAGTACTAGTACTAGTACTAGTAGTGGGAGTAGTAGTAGTAGTAGTAGTAGTACTAGTAGTAGTAGTAGTAGTAGGAGGTGCCTACCAATCTGCAACATGTACGGGTCCTACTTGTATTTTTTCGTTTTGGTTGGCAGCCTGCAAGATTTCCGGGCCCTACTCCCATTTTTGATTTTAGATTGGCAATCTGCAAAACTTACTGGTCCTGTCTACTGCTATGTTAGATTATTGGTCGGCAGTCTGCAAACTTTCCGGGCCATACTTTTTGCTGTTTGTTTTACTTGGTAATTTACGGGTCCTACTTCCATGTTGGATTTTTGGGTTGCCAGTCGGCAAGATTTTCGGGTTCATATTTTTCGTCAGGATTTTTGGTTGGCCGCCTGCAACATTAGTCCCGGGGTTTGAGCGAGGACTTCTCCTTTTTTTTCTTAAATTTCCTTTCATCCCGTTACAGAGGGGGTATTTCCCATCAGTCATGAAAAGAGCAAAATGCGTCATGAGCATCTGAAAACAGGTTAGGGCTGGGGTGAGGGAAGGTTTACATCCTATTCTGGAAATTGTTTTTTACAGAAAGCCTAGGCGCACCTTCCTTTCCAGGGACAACCCCACCTGGCCAACCCCTCCAGCCCATTGACCCACAGCTGTTCCAAATGGACTGATGATGACTGATAGGGCATACCTTGGACGAGTGGGGTGATGAAATAAAGTAAATCAGAACTCATCAACCCCTTGGACTAGTTGGGAATGCCTGGGACAAATGTGGCCCCTACCAGCCTGCCCTTGAAGCCCAAGCAGTGAGCACACGTAAATGCTTGTTGCACACAAGGCAAGCGTCGAGGTTGATACGGTTGATACCACGAAAAAAGGTGAAACTGCAAGTTGACTACGAGCTGTACAAATCAACTATGTTACTAGTAGGTGTTGGAGGAATTAGGATTCTACATCCTCAGAACCCTCCTATTTGTACTTTGAGCCGTTATGGGCTGTTGTACATGATTGTGCTGCTTTCATGCGCACTTGCACTCACTGCTTTCATGCACACCTGCAGTATCAATTTTAATAGAGAAATAATAGTAATGGTAGCAATAGTAGTAATAGTAATAGTAGTAATAGTAGTAATAGTCGTAATAGTAGTAACAGTAGTAACAATAGTAATAGTAGTAATAATTACTAGTTTTAATAGTAATAGTCGTAGTAATGGTAATAGTAATAACAGTAGTTAGTAATAGTAGTAATAGCAGTAATAGCGGTAATAGTAGGTCCGCGTCTCGTTTGTGACGCCGCATTTTCGTGGTCGTTGCATTGTTACAGTCCCACACATTTTCGGCTTGGGTAGAGTCCAGGGGTGTCATTTCACACCTTCTTGTGTCCGCTGTTGGAAAAGGTACCAGCTGTCCGCGTTGCTTTGCTTCCATGGCTACGGGCAGGTGATGAGCCCAACGTCACGTAACGCTGCGCTTCTCCCTGGGTTTTTAGATGGAAAACAGTGGACAAGCTGCTCAACGCAATTCTGGTAGCATTTGTAGAAGCTTTGGCAGAGTGACTGGACGTTCCAGTGGTCGGGCCATTTGCAGACCCAGTAATGGGGCTGCCCCAAAGCCCAGTGGTTGGGCTTAGGGCCCGAGTCACCCGAGAGAGGGAATCTCGTAGTGCCCCAGTACCGCAATGGTACGCCAGTGAACCGCAGGGCAGCAGATAGGCCACGAGATGCATGAGTGCATCTTAGAGGGGATTTCCATGTTGACTCAGGATGACGTGGATCATGAAGTTTTCGGCTTTGCGGGCCATGGGAGCATTTCTTTACGTGAACTGCGCATGTGCCTGCAGAAGCGAACTGGTACAGATCTAGCTATGGAGAAAGTTTTGATAAGACAGCTTGCGGAAGTGTCAGTGCAGAAGCTAGAGTTGGGTATGTCCTGTTGCAGTGCAGAGGATAAATCAAATTGACGAGCCTTTTCTAGAGATCGTTAGCAGTGGCATGATAGCCCTCATGGGAAGACAGCGTTGATTTCCTGGCTTTCGAACGCGGAAAGCAAATGTTCACTTTGCCCAGCCTCAGCGACGCTGCCAAAGGCCAGCCTGGGATGCTGCCCCAGGTCTACGATCACCAAAGTGCCTTGATGAGGGATTACAACCCGCTGCCCAGCTCACAGCTGGATGGTGGTTTGACTGGACTGCGACTCACAATCGAGGTTCAGGCAGCCTACCCGTTTCAGGCACATGAGGCTTTGCACCGCTGGCGTGGCACTTGGGATCCTGGTGGCATTCAGCTTTGCATCAGGGCAGTAACTTGTACGTGCTTGCGGGTGTTGGGACTAAGAAGCAGCAATGCGACTGCATCCCGCCCGACCAGCGAGCGTTGATCCTTGTGTACAAGCCGCTGCTATTGTCTGAATCCTTTGATCCCGGTGGTGGGTTCCTTTGCTGTTCAGCGCTGCAGCTGAAGGCCTAAGCCAGAAAGACCGCATTGATACTGGTGATGGCTTCGCGCTAAATAGCTGCAGGCATGGATGTCATTGACCAGTTCTGCCTTTCCGGTATCAGAGGTCCTTGCCATCAGTACTTCCAGCAATGAGGCTTATGGATGCCGATGGTTCGATATTTTGTTTTTAGTAGCTCTCGTGATTATTCACGGAGCTTTTTCTTCTTGATTCTAGATGGGGGGTGGACAGTTTTTGGCATGGCTTAACTGTGCGCTGGTTCAATCCTCCGCGCTTTTAGTTTTCTTTTTTCTCACCGCTCCTGTCGGCATTGGGTTGCCGCTGTGAGCTTATGTGCTTTTGGTCAATTTGCTTTATGGTTGAGTGCGTACTGGGTTTTCGCCCTGATGTTCTTTCAGCGAAGCCCAGGTTTCTGCTCCGACCACACCGTTTTGCATGTAGAATTCACGGCGCGTCCTGTGGAGTCTCGCGTCCCAGCAAGCAGGCAAGTGGTTGGGCTTCCACGACGTTGCTCTGAAGGCGGCCTTAGTTGCACGACTGGAAGAATAAGCAGCAGCCATGGTATTGCCCACAGTTTGGTCGGCAGCGACCGTGGTGTCAGCAACATTCCTCTGACCAGGGATAGTTGTCAACCCCATGGCCGAGTGCCGTATATAGTGGTCGACAGCAACGACCATAGCGTAGGAAACAGTCCCCTGGTCAGGGATAACTAGTTGTCCACCGAATGGACGAATGCTATATGCCAATCGTGATAGCCAGCCTCGAAATGTGCAATCTGAAGGGGGCGCCTGGACAGATTTGTCAAATCTGGGCTATAGACAAATTGGAAGTGGTGAGGAGCGTGCTGTGTATGGTGGGGGTGTTGTTGCGCAGGCTGCCTACGAGGATACCTGGAGATTAGCTGGAAACTGAGAATGGTCAGGCGTTGGTGGCCCAGCTCAGTGGTGAGGCAAGTCGTGCGCAACAAGACCTGGCGCCGCCGTTGCGTCATGGCCGGGTTCCTGTTCATACCATACAGTAGCTGTAGCTTCTGTTTATCCCAGTTCGGAGGGTAGTTTCAAGCAGGGTCGAGTGCAGGATAGGGGAACGAGTAACTCGAGTTTCCTGTATGGACGTAGATACTGGAGGTATTGGGAGAGGTATTACTATGGAAGATACTCTCCGAGCAATCCCTAACCCACCGCCTTTGGCGAGCAGACCCATGCCTCCTGTGTTGGCCAATAGTGGTCAGTGCGACTCTGGAGGAGTTCCGCCTAGTTGTACCGCTTGTGACGAGGTTGCAGGCTTGGCAAACTTGGCCGCTCAAGGTAGAGCTGGGGGTAGTGATCCAGCTCAAGTCCTTTATCAAGCCAGTCGTGAGCCTATAGCGGGTCAGGCTTGTAGGTCAGGTGCCGCGTCTTAGTGGTGTCGTGGTGTTAGGGTTTCCAGTCAACATGTCATTTGCTTGCTTTGAGGCAGCAGTCCCTGCGATTCTGCGATGTCCACTGACGTGTGCCCGGGAAACAAGCTGATGAAAAGTGTTCAGGGTTGAAAGATCTTCTTTCTGATCAGCCCATGTTCGAAGGTGGAAAACC